TCGACTCACAGCACCATGTCATGGATTCGGCCCTCGTACGGATGCTAGGTACGTTACCCGCTTGCAATGTACGCTGTGACTGGGGGCTTTGATGGATAGATCGCTAGGAAATTTTTACAGCATCCCCTCAACAATCGAAAGGAAACTGAGGTGAGTCGTATTTTCCGGAATTTTTCCCCAGCGGCAGAACGTGCCCTGATTGTAACCTCACATATTCCAGCTTTTCACAAATGAGAAGTGGACATTGCACCACGTGCCCCCCCCCCCTAAAGGCATATCCTGGCTTTCCACGTGTTTTTTTCTTGCTCATGTTGCCACGCGCCCGAATTTTCTCGGAAAATATAGAGGCTAATCACAAGAATGCTGAGTTATGGGCAAAAATCAAAAGTCGAGACCAAGGCAGGAGTCGAACCCGCACCTCACGCTTTCCGGGCGAGTGGTGCCCGGAAAGCGTGAGATGCGGGTTTATTGCCGATATCTAACGATTACGGCTGACCGGCTCACCAAGTTAAACGTGTGAGTGCTGTAAGGTTACGGCATAAGCCGTTAAGCTGAGAGGGTAAAAGCGGCCCTGGTGGCGTAACGGATAGCGCACTCGCCCGGAAAGCGTGAGGTGCGGGTTCGACTCCCGCCTGGGCTCACCGTTGCTCATAAACTCGAGCATTTCTTGTGATTCATCACTCTTGCTCAGAACTCAGCATTCTGGTAATAACTTTCGGAACGCGAACTGCGGCATAAAACAGCAGTTATCATCATAGAGGCTGATATTTTTACTTCTGCTTATGTTTTGCGATGTACATCGAGGCAGAAATCTTCATTCAGTACCCGTATAAAAGCCAGCTTTCTGCTTAAGAACGGTATGGTCAACTTTTTCAATGGAAATGAAAAAAAGACATAGGTAGCGTTCTGAACCTGGGTCCAAAAAACTTATCTAGGCACAACTACGAACACAGACAAATAATTTAGATATCAGTTCAACGTGACGAGATGCCTAGAATTCAGTTGAGAGATTCACTTTGTCAGCGATTATCGGCGACTAGAAACACGATATGAGTACCTGAAGGGCAGAGCTGCTATTAAATTGAAGATCACCGGTATGACAAGGAGGCCATGAATCATTCCGATTAACACGACGAGGAGCATGCACTGGGCAAATATCTGGAATGACAATGATGATTTTTGAAAGGGTTTGAGGCGCTTAGGCAGCTTCAGACTTTGCGCGTCGACGCGCTTTGGTTAGCCGTTTCGCTTTGGTTAGGCTGGTCGATAGTTTGGTGTTGATCGGCAATGGCCGCTGGGCCTTGGGGGAGTAGAGAAGAATAGGAGTGTACAAGGTTCCGTGAAGGCAGCGCTTGCCTCCCTGCTATCCTTTACTCCCTCAAAGCACAAGCAGCTGGCGTTGATCGGCTCCCGTCTATGGCTGCTGTTGCGTCTATGGGATAGGAGCGCTGTTGCAAGCGTAACGCATCGACGCGCGTTACAGGGCGTCGGTGCGCGCCGACGCGAAGTCTGAATGCCACCTAAGTAACGCTGGTTTACCTTTGACATGTGCAACTGAACAAAGAAGAGACTGAGTACACAAAGAGTAGTGGACAGGGAAGCCTCCATGATAGGAAATCCAACAGCAGTGACAGTCTTTTTCAAGCGGGTTTTGACACAGTTTGTTTCCTTCCCTGAAATGAGTCTGTTTATAATAAACACGCCCACAATCACTCAGAAAGAAACTATCGTAGCGTACCTGTTTGATAATAATGGTAGCTAACGTGTGATGGGATATCGACAGAAAAACCGATACTCATTACCGTAGCTGACATCATGATAGGGTCGAGGTCAGCTCCCAACAATGACATGATGCCAAACACTCCTGGAAGTAAGGATGGTAGACTGAGAGATCTACTAAGCGTAGCATATAACGACGCGAAGCGAGGTGGTGGTGTCAGCAGGAGAAGAGTGAGCCATTTGCGGCTGCTTTTCCTACCATTAGGGACCGGTTTAGGTCGGCAGTTATTGGTAGAAAAAATTGCTGGAGGTGGGCTCATTCCACGCCTCCTGACACCGCTCCGTCGCTTCGAATCGTTACGCTGTAGCTGTTGGAGCTCCTAGTAATTGGCAAACCTATGCTGGTGCTGAGAATGCTGAGCGTAGCGACGAAAAGCGTGGGCGGATGAGAAATGAAGAGGACTGCGACGGCGAACATTGAAATAAAAGTGAAGAGCGCTGACTGCATCGAGATTGGCACCATCGTCTCGAAT